ACAGGGGAGACGGATTCTTAACACACGTGATAAACGAATGCGAGGCTTTTATTCTATATACAGACGGCTCTTGACACAAGTATGTTCTAGAGTCAATAAATAAGCCTGAAAGCGAGCGACAGCCTGAGGGATAGGACGGGTTGGTCACGGTCGGGTGATTAAGTATGTACGTATCAGCAGCATGATGTCCAGGTCGTGAAGCAATCAGATCATCATTCAAAGCAGGAAAGCGGCGGCACCGATCAGTGCAAGAGATGCAACAATCGAGCTCATGTGCGTGAGTTGTGTGGAGACAGCTCCGCTCTTGCCGGAAGCTGTCGAGTTCGAGTTCGAAGAGCTGACGGACCCAGCGGAACTCTTGCTGCTTCCAGACGGAGCCGAGGCGGAAGCGCTGCCGGAGGCGCTAACAGACGGTGAAGCAGACGAAGTGTCGGCGACACCGATGTCTGTAGATGTCATCAGCCACAAGATTGATAGAATACAATGGATCTGGAACTTACATTGATTGAAGTTGGGCATCGAGAAGTTTGCTTCGGCGTATGGTTGAGTTTGGTTCAACGCGACGGCAATTGGGACAATGTGCTTCAGAGATCATCAGAAACGGAAGAACGGAACCACTGATGAACGCGACACACCTTGAATGCCTTGGTCAGGTTGGGGTAGTTGTCAACGGCCGTTTGCATGGTGTAGTTGTCCAACTCGTGTGCCAGAATGATCGCACCGACCTGAGCGAGCCGTCAATCGCGCTCGAACAGACATTGAAGCAGGCGACTTACATCAGCAAACTTGCCCGCATTAGCAGCTGCCACAAGATTGTTGTAGTTTTGTTGGACCTGAGCCGGGGTCACACCGTTCGAGCCGGCTTCCCAATCGAATGAATCATATTGCCACATGACATTCGTCAGGTTCATTTGCTGAGCAATGAAACGAACACGGTCGTCAGTGTCACCGAGAGGGGGCTGATGGAGCGATCGTGTAAGCAAGCGCACATCATCCATCGGGGTTAATCGACTTACCCGCCAGCAGGTCGGAGTGTATCCGGTAACGAGCTTGATAGCTTTAAGCGTGTACCACAACTCCGCGAAGACCTGCTCGTTGGTGAAGGCCGTCATCGACCTATGAGACCATGTGTCTGCAAGGTGGTTGGAATGGGGATAATGGGCTGAGACAGATCGACGCACGGACGCAAACGTGGTGACCATCAGTAATCGCACGTTGAGCTTCATGTGGCCAGTCCATGACATTGGAACCGATGTAGAAGAAGGCTGGAAAGGCATGCTGAGTGAACAGGCACCAATATGAGCAAGAGACACGCACTAGCTTTTTGTTTGTGGGACAACATATAGTCGTAGAAAGCATTGTGCGAACAGTTGGGACCATCGTCGAAGCCATAACCGAGCGTTTGAGGCTATCGAGTTTAGTCATTCAGGTTTGAGAGAGTATTGCAAAACGGACACACCTCCGGCACCCAAGCGACATCAGCCTTGACACCAGCCGCTTTGGGTTGCACACACTGCTGGTTTGTCCACCAGCAGTCAGGATCGCCCGAAGCGTATGCGAAGTTGGGATCGGGAACGCCGTTGGTTCCCTGTCGCCATCGTGAGGAAGGGATGCTGTGCGGTCGAGGCTACGAACACACCTTGGGTTGGATGTTCGGGATCTTTGAGCTGAACGACGAAAACAGTGCCTTTCCCTCGGCGTCGCCAGCTAGTAAGCCAGTCACAGGCTGCCAGATGGGAGGGAAGTTGGGCAGGGCAGCGCTGACGGTCGCGTCGTTGTAGGGAGCACATTCTGCCTCTGCGAAGAATTAATTTCAAATTCGCATCTGGAGCTGAAGAACGCCACTTACGAGCCAGCACAGAGTTTGCCTTGGCGAGTAGAAGGGCCGCGCCCAGCACAGTGGACGGGGAGAGCATCGCCAGGAAGGAATTAGTGGGCGGGAGACGGGAGGAAGAAGGGAGGAGAACAGAGATCTAGAGAGACACTAAAACAAAACATGATACATACTTATGATGATCGGTTCGGCCATTACTTGCCGCGCGATATTTATAGATCGTGCTAGCAACCATGCGGCGTCCAAGGCGGGGAAACTGTACGAGACCGTCTGAAACCCTTTAGAACCACAGTGTGTTCCGTAGACCCCAGCGGCATCTCTGCTTCCTCGAGAGTTACTCTACGAGCCAGCGGGAAGTCGAGAATAGCATCGGGATAGGAGCGCCTCGAGATCCTTAGCGGCATAACCTTGAGCATGCTGCCTGATCTCAGTGATGGAAACCCGAAATCGCGCGCCGACGTATGAGCGCAGAGTTCGAGAAGCAAGAAAGACACTAGAAAGACACAGTACAGGCTCTGGATGGGTTGAAGCAAGACGAGACGCTTGGCGTGACGACTTCGTGACACTCTCCCTCACTATCTCTACCATGTCCTGAGCCATTTCCTATTTTTTGAACTATCTTTCACTGCGTTGGAGCTGTTGGCGAATGCATTCATCCCGGACTTGAACACCCTGGGAAATGGAACTTGATAATTGTCTGGCGCCTGCAGGCTTTCTCTTCATGCTGCGGCTGATATAATTTTTTCCTTGGTGAATGCGCTGTCCTGTTCGTTCAAGCGACGCTGCCCGCCTCTCTCGGCCTCCGCGCAGACTACGTATCCCATATGAAAAACCCCTCGCATCATCTCCAGACCCGCAAGGGTCGAAGCCTACGCTTGCTTCTGGCCGGAGAAACCGCATAGACTCGCGTCCGAGCCATCTGACACGTTCTCGCTTCTGAGCCCGCGGGTTCCTTTTTTGTTGAGGGGACTGAAATTTGGATGGGCCCCGACTTTCCTCATTTCTCGCTGGAGATGAAACGGCTGCTTTGAAAGATCGACGAGGGATGATTTCCAGTGTCAAGACAACGCGGCAACGGATTCGTGAATCCTTCGGTTCCAAACTTGAAGGGCTACTGTTGTAACAGACTCAGATGGGTCCGTCGCTGTTCGCCATATTGACGTAGTGCGACCCTCCCAACAATTCTGATCCTCCGTGCGCGGAGTAGATTCGTTTCCGGGACAGGCTTTGGTCCGTGATCGTTTGCGCTGCATTTTCAGATGTCGTCTCTCGGACTTGTTCGCCTAGTAACACCTGTCTAAGAGAGCTGACATTCGACCTGTATTACCCAGTATGTACTTACTTGGACCCAAGTCAGGCTCGGACATCCTCATACTTAGTCAGCTCGAGCCATCATTGAGCCGGACGCTACCACGTGTCACTGAGTCAGCTGAGCACTGCCATCTTTGCAGTTTTCACTGGTCATCATCATCCTGCACTGCACATCCTTCCTCCATCCCGCCACATCCCCAGGACATACGTATCCACGATAGCGTCGACCCACTTCTATTCTACCCACAGCATCTCTCTGTCTAGTCAGAGATCCATGCTTCGTCCTCCAATCATATCTGAACAGAGAAGATCCATAACGCTCCATTTTCTTTCCGGTTTCGTGCGTTGCGAGTTCCGCTCCCTTATTCATGCACCGTGCTCATGACCTCCACAGCGCTAAATAAGCTTTTTCGCCCACCATGGCTGGATTCGTCAACATTCGTCGCGATGTAGACGATAAATTCTACCGCTACCGGTATGTAACTTCACAGCACTTCCAAGCTCCTCCTCATCGATATGTCTTCTCAGGATGCCTATTCTCCTCACTAAAATCGAGGGCAAAGGAAATGGCATCAAAACCGTCCTCCCCAACATGGCCGATGTCGCACGCGCACTCAGCCGGCCTCCCAGCTACACCACAAAATTCTTTGGTTCCGAACTCGGCGCCCAGACCTCTGTCGACGAGAAAAACGACAAATATATCGTCAACGGGGCGCATCAAGCCGATCGCCTGCGCGAGCTGCTCGATGGATTCATCGAGAAGTTCGTGTTGTGCAAATCATGCAAGAATCCCGAGACCGAGCTCATCATCCTGAAGAGCGGTCGCCAGGAGGACATCATCCGCGACTGCAAAGCCTGTGGCGAGCGGACGGGCGTCGATATGCGTCACAAGCTCACTACCTTCATCCTCAAGAACCCGCCGGCCAAAGTGCGCAAAGGCAAGAAGGCGGCTAACACGGGCGATGCTGCCGCCGGGGTCGGCGGTGCCAATGCCGAGTCTCCCGAGAACGGGGCCGAAGAGAATGGGGATGGCGGTGCTGAGAGCGATGATGAGTTGACTAAGAAGATCAAGGCCGAGGCTGCGGAGCTCAACGAGGACACCGCCTTGGCGAAAGAGGACTGGTCGGCCGACACGTCTCCCGAAGCTGTCAAGGCTCGCATCAAGGCGCTCGAAGGTGGCATGAATGGCTTGGGCATGGACGACGATGGCAGCGACGATGATGGCAACAGCCCGTACACCCAATTCGGAAATTGGATCATGGACGCCCCAGAGATGGAACCTCCTGCTCTCAATGTCGCCATCTACAAGAAGGCGGAGGAACTCGGGATTGAGAAGAAACACAAGACCGTTCTGATCCTAGTGACCATCTTCACTGAGGACGTCTTGACGGAGATCCCCGACTTCGCCCCGCTTCTTCAGAAGGTGCGTTTCTCTAGCAATGTGCTACTTGTCGTTCACGTGTCTACGTCAGATGGTCACCTCTGAGAAACACCAGAAAGCCTTGCTAGGCGGTGTCGAACGTCTCGTGGGCTTGGCCTTCCCCGATCTGTTGCCCCAGGTGCCCAAGATCCTCATGGCCTTGTACCAGGCAGATGTTCTCGAAGAAGAGGTCGTCACTCAGTGGGGTACTCACGTCAGCAAGAAGTACGTCGACAAAGACACTAGCAAACGTGTTCGTAAAGCCAGCGAGCCCTTCCTCAAGGTGTGTACATTCGTTGGTTTTGCTACACTCCCCGTTGACCCTTATGTACAGTGGCTCGAGGAAGCTGACGATGATTCGGACGAAGACGACGATTAAGTTGGTTGTGTCTATGTAGTCCTCTGTATGTAATCGTCAATTCAAGCCCCCACTCGTCGTTGAAAACGTTGTGATTCTCTTGTCTTGTTTCACTGGATCTACTTTTACATATGTACATTTACAGCTCTCAATCATTGTACCCGCGAACTTTGGCCGGTCCGCCGCCAACATGGGGCGGCTCCAAGCCCTGTTGCCGCCAAACCTCGATGCGGCGGTCCTTGGCGACTTTTCCAGATGCCTCATACTCAGCCACTGAAATCGGCTTTTCGCCGTGGGGAGTTGCGCGAAGAGCGTGCCGGCGCGCAGGCCAAAAGTCGAATGTAGCCGAGTGCGTGACAATGCGATTGTCCTTGGCGAAAGGTCAGCATGCGCATGGATGAGCCAAAAAGGCACTACAAACCCAGAAGACAACCGAATTTTTTCCCACCGGAAGCGAACCTGGAATTCAGGGTTCTGCGATAGCTGTTGGAACAGCAGCTGCAGCAGCGCATCGGATTCCGCTTTTGGCACGCCAACGATACGGCGTGTGAATCCCGGGTTAACATAGATGCTCTTGAATCCTGTGACCGGATGAACACGGACAACGGGATGAACGGATTCGACGGGTTCTCTGCGAACGTGCAGTCCAGCAGCACGGGATCCTTCGGCTTGTGCAACACCGCTGTGCACTGCGCTCAAGCCCTCGAGGTATTTCTGGAAGCCCGGGCTGAATGACGAGAACAGGGCGTATCCTGAGCTCCAGAGCGTGTCTCCTCCGTACTCGGGGCCCGCAATGACTTTAAGCGACGTCGTACTCGGTGGCTGCAGTTCGTACGAGACCTGCGAAACGATCAGCTTCTGCGCCATCAAGAATGACAAATACAGACGTCGCTGTGCCACAGTTCTAGGGCTGAGAATGCAGCAGGATCCGGGCGACGAGAAGAGTCATTGTACACGACTGAAACAGAACATTGAGTCGCACGGTCGGCATGTGACCAGGGACGGACCATGTACTTCCTCCAGGCCGATCTGAGGAATAGGCGTCGTCGCATGCTTGTGCAGAGGTCCGAAGTGACGGGCGAGCTCCAGTTGTCCGTTGATATCGATCTCTTGGTCTCGGAAGACTGCAGGGATGGCTCGTTAGCTCTGAAGATAAGGAACAAACGAGGGATGACTTGCAGACTGCTCCTCGTTCTGCAACAAGCAGCGCACTGCGAATACTCAGCGAATGCTCTTCGAAGCGGAGAAAAACATACAGCTCGTCTTTTTGCGCTTCAGAAAGCTGGCGCAGGTCGATGCCGTGCAGCTCCGTCCCGATAGTGGGGTTGAGAGTGATGACTTTGCTTGCCGCGCCGAGCAGATTCTTCTTAGAGGGATCGGCGAATTGAGCGCGGTCAACAACTTCGACCTCCGTCAAGGGTGGCCAGGACACTTTGGGAAAGAACGGCTGCGAAACATCAGCACAGACAAGGGGACTATGGATGTAGGAGCCGCACCTTGTACTGAGCATGTTCATATGACGCATCCCCATCGTCTCCAATTGAAGGGGAGTAGAAGGGATTGAAGACGGACACATCTTCATCGGCTTTAGCTTGTTCCTTGAGAGACTGAATCCGCTCAGAGGTGGATTGGGCGAGTTCAGTTGCAACCGGCGCCATGGTAGTGCGTGTCGAATGGTGTGATTAGATTATGAGCATTGACACCATTTATATGAGTCTCGTGGACCGGTGCAAATATTTCGTCATCGTGCATTGAAAACGCGAAACCAGGATTTCACAAGACGATCCCTAGATGGCGCGAGATGTTCCCAGGGGTCCTTGCTTTGGCCGCGGCAATAGGCTGCGAAGTCACAGTAACAATCATTTGATGTGTGGAGACGTGTCTTAAGAAGCGGCCTTCGCTAGATGCCAGACGTGGAAATGGAGAACAGTCAGTGCACGTTCAGTATGTATATTCATGGAGATTTGTTCGCGAGTCGATTGGCTTCCCCATGCTTGCGACTGAAGATAGCAAGGCTACATCCATTTGACAACGCAGGAGAGACAAGCTTGAGGCATGTCGTCTCAGACGTTAGCGGCCGCAGTGGGACGGACACAAGTTGAGCTCCGGAACTTGCGCCTTGGACGTGATCATCCATTGAGATATGGGACAGGAAGTATCCAGTCTTCGTCGCCAGTGTTGGCGCATATTTGTACGAGGAGGAGGCAAGCTTCAGTCATCACTTCGAGAGACAATGCGACTCGGGGGTACTACACAGTAGGGTTGTTGAAGGCGACCAAATGTTTGCGCGTCATACTTGTCACATTGTCACATTGTGTGAACGTAACACGCGTGTCCGCTTTCTTTCTGGCGCACCACGCTCCACTGACGTTCTCTTTATTTCGTCTCTCGCTCGGGCTGGGCTGCAACATCTAGCTCCACACCCGGCGCACTTCATCCAGCATATATCATTTTACTCTTTCTCCCTCTACAACTTCAGTACTACATATACTGCGCCTGATCGTTCTGATAATCCAGGACTTACCTCCAAGCAGACCACATAGGAATTGTATCCTTGCCATACTCACAACGCGCAGCTATGGTTTTCGGCTTATTCTCGCGCAATAAATCGAGTGTTGATCTGACGAAGAAGACAACCCAAGAGGACACCACCGTCCAATTACGGACCCCTTCTCCCTCTGTGTTGTCGGGATCTTCGCCGCGTAATGACCAGTCGCGAGGCCCTCCCGCTACCCCTTCTCCTGCCCCAGACCTTGCGGATCCCGACGTCTTGCACGCTTTAATTGAATCTATTCCTCCGAAGGCGTTGCATGCATACGTGCTTGCGCGCATCAGCCACGCTTCCCCTCAACACGTTGGTCCTCTTGCGCAGTTTTTCTCGGCACTCGAGCCGCCCCCAACGTTGCACTGTGTCCGTTGCCACAAAGGCTATTTTGAGGTCGAAAATAATGATCGGAGTTGCTTGATCGGGCACGACGACGAAAGCGCTGAGGTGGAGAGGGTTGGTGGCGGATATGAAACACTCTTCGGCTGTTGCGGGAAAACTGTCGAAGGGGAAGGCGATATGGGTCCTCCTGATGGATGGTGCTATGAGGGCATGCATACCGTGCGTGGTGCCGTTCTTCTGTGCAAACGCAAACTAACCTACGCGAAGACGGACAACAAGCGTGCGCGCTTCCGTGCAGACTCAACCGTACACGAGGACAAACTAGTGTCCTGTACGCGGTTGCGGTGCCATGATCCTCGTCCGAGAAAACGTCTCCGCACTCGCGATAACGAAGACTCAGACGAGGACAGCGACGACGACGGTGCAAGTCATAGTAGCGTCCGCACAAGGCAATCCAAGCGCGCAAAGATTGGGACAGCCCTTTTTGATGATGAAGATGTCGACATGGAGCAGCCATCTCCCAAGCCCAGCAGCTCGCGAGGCCGGACTTCGCGAGCGAAGTCCCCGCTGAAGAGCGCATCGGGACGCTCGAAGCCAGCCAAGACCAAGTCAGCTCTCAGGACGCGATCCGTCTCCCGTGCACGATCTGAAGTGTCTATTTCGAGTTCCCCCGCCAAGCGCAAGCCGGCCAGCAGTCGATTTGTTGCCGGCCCGTCATCTACGTTGGTCACCGAGGCCTCATTCTCCTCGACAACATCAGTGATGGCTGTTGGAGGCAACTCGCAGGAACAAACTCAGACCAGCAGTCAACTCACGGAGGTGGTCGCTGTCAGTGCTCTGAAGAGCAAGAAGTCGGGGATGCAGTCTAAGAAGACTGTCACTGTCGCCAAAGAAGTGAAGAGCACATCGTCCACGGCAAAAAGAAAGCCAAGAACGAAGAAACTGGACGAGGTCGTCGAGTCCAGTATCCCGGGCGAGACAGAATGAGAGAGCTCCTCGACCACTGCGAATGGACGCAGTTTCTTTTTCTTCTATGTTAACCACTAGCTATCTGCTATCTATCGGTCTATCGTACTGTATCATCTAACGAGCAGCCAAGCCGCTGCTCTGCCACTCTCTTCCAATTTCCCTCTCTTTGTGCAATGCTCGATCTGCTTGCTCGCCCTCGCATTTGTACTTCGTATTGCACTCGCACACCGTCCTTTACTTATATCCCATGAAATCTTGTCTATATTGTTGTCTCTGTAATAGGTGTGACTGTCTTCATTGTATGAGACATTGAAATCGGCGGACTCAACAATCAGAGATGTTGTGACCGGCGTGCGACACAGCCACGCTCAATTTGTCGAACGCGTACTCTTGATCCACCAAAATGTCCTCGAGCCTGGAACTTGTAAACCCCAAGGCGGAGAGCATCCGTCGGGCTGCAGCACTCCAGGTATATAACGCTCCGATTTGTCATATCCAGCATTGTAACGCGCTCATAGGTGAACACAAATGGTGCAATGGGACTCGCGAACGTCGTCAGAGGCAACCTCGGTGCGCGCCATCCGCGTCCAATCACCCTCTAAACTCCATCTCACGACGTCAACGTCACCTTTAGGGCCGAAGGGAACGATAAAAATGCTTGTCGACGGGTCGGGACAGATCAAAATGACCAAGGATGGGAAAGTGCTGCTCTCAGAGATGCAGATCCAGAACCCAACTGCGGCCATGATCGCGAAGACGGCAGTGGCGCAGGATGACCAGGTGGGAGACGGAACGACGTCCGTGGTGCTTTTGGTCGGGGAACTCCTCAAACAAGCCGATCGATTCACTTCGGAGGGCGTGCATCCTGCTGTGGTGTCGGAGGGGTTCGATCTGGCGAAAAAAGAGTCTTTGGCGGTGGGCTGCCCTTTTATTTCTGTTTTGATCTTTTTTGTGCTTATGGGAGGGTTGTGCAGTTCTTGGACACCTTCAAGCAGCCTATGAAGCTCGATCGTGCTACGCTTATCAATGTCGCCAATACATCCCTCGCCACCAAACTGAATGCTGCAATGGCAAAGAAGCTAGCTGCAGATGTCGTTGATGCTGTTCTTACCATTCAACCTCCTCCCTGCCCAAAGGTTTGCAACCAACAGCTCGTGCCTCTTTTATCTCATCCCTTGCAGATGCAGTCGATCAATGGCGTAGTCCAATCGACCTGCACATGGTGGAGATCATGAAGATGCAGCATCGAACCGCGTCTGAGACTCAGCTTGTCCGTGGACTGGTAATGGATCACGGTGCGCGGCATCCCGACATGCCTAAACGCGTCGAAAACGCGTTCATCTCATCCTTAATGTCAGTCTCGAGTATGAAAAAACGTGCGTGATAGAATTCCTCGTCCATCCGATTGTTTTCACAACGATCTGCAGCGAAGTCAACTCCAGCTTCTTCTACTCGTCGGCAGAACAGCGTGAAAAGCTTGTGGAGGCTGAGCGACGTGTCGTGGATCAGAAAGTCAAGAAGATCGTTGAGCTCAAGAACCTCGTTTGCGATCAGGCGATGGATAGCAAGGAGAAACGCAAGAATTTCGTGGTCGTAAATCAGAAGGGCATTGACCCGCTTTCGTTGGATATCCTCGCGAAGAACGGCATCTTCGCTCTGCGTCGTGCCAAGCGAAGGAATATGGAACGGTAATATCTATGCTATGGGCTGTTCAAACAATCGCTCACAGTCGGATCAGGTTGCAGCTGATCTCTGGTGGCATCGCGCAAAATTCTGTGGATGATCTTGAACCTTCCGTTCTGGGCTGGGCCGGGCTTGTGTATGAGCACACCCTGGGCGAAGAAAAGTACACATTTGTGGAGGAAGTCAAGGCGCCCAAATCGGTCACCTTGCTCATCAAGGGACCCAACAGCCACACCATCACTCAGATTCAGGAGGCTTTGCGCGATGGACTGCGGGCCGTCAAAAATGCTATCGAGGACGAGGCATTGATCCCTGGAGCTGGAGCGTTCGAAGTGGCATGCTCCGCGCATCTCGTGGACAAAGTGAAGAAGTCCGCCAAAGGTCGAGTGAAGATGGGTGTGCAAGCATTTGCTGACGCTCTGATGATTATCCCGAAAACCTTGGCGCAGAACGGCAACTTCGATGTCCAGAACGCAGTTGTAGCCCTGCAGGATGAACAGGCCGAGGGTAACATCGTTGGAATCAATCTGATCACCGGAGAGCCATTCGATCCTACAGTGGAAGGTGTCTGGGAAACTACCGCGTGAAACGACAGATGCTTCACTCGTGGTGAGTTTTCCGCTACCATTTTCAATTGATTGTCTCATTCGCCGATAGCTCTGTGATCGCTGTCAATCTATTGATTTGCGATGAAGTCTTACGAGCAGGGAGAACATCGCTGAAGCCCGATGGTCCTGGGCCCCAGTAGAAAGTATATTAACATTGATAGAACACAGCGGTTCATCACAATTTGGTCTTGGGAACGTCGGTCCTAATGACTCCACTAGAAATGCAAATTAGGACCAGTGGCACGTCAGATTCGCGAAAGTCCACGGACCCAAGGAAACCAGTCTCCCAGGTCTTTGGACAACTGGCTGGTAAATTGGGCTCCCGTTTCTCCATGAACGCACGCACACCATCCTCGCCATCATGTGACGCGCCCATGATGCGCATCGCACGCGAATCAAGCAAATGGTTCTCTTCGATCGAATCCCAGGATGCTGGATTAACCCTTTCGCGACGGCAATCGACACGGAGATGTTTGGAAGCAAGCTCATGCGCGAAGGCCACGGCGGCCGGAAGCACTTCCTCGCGGGTAGGGAAGATTGTGGTGGTACAAGCTGCTAATGAGATGCGAGTCGGCACTGATTGTGCTGCCGTCAGAATGAGTGACATGGCGCGCGATGGCCGATGAGCCGTGGAAGGAGATAGGAGGATGTTGCTCTGGAACCGATACCGCGCCGTACAAAGGGGAATGTGAGCTGGGCGCCTTTCCAGATGAAGCGGAAATCGAATGGCAGCTGCATAGTGGTCATTCCCACACCAGCCTAGAGCGAGGACATGAAA